AACGCCTTTTTTAGGAACGCTTTTTGGAAACGCTTTTTTTGGGGAACGCTTTTTGAGAACGCTTTTTTTATGGAAAATAACGCTTTCCTGCATGTCTGGCATATGCCAGGGTCGGTTTTCATAAGGCTAAGGGCTTCAGGGTTTGGGGCTTTAAGGTTTGGGGTTTAGAGGTTGGGGTTTTGTGTTTATGGGTTTGGGGTTGATCTCGGGTTTCGGGTACAGAGGTAAGGTTTGGGGTCTAGCGGGCCGGGTAATATAGGGGGCCTTGACAATTAGAATAATATAGGGACCTAAAGTTATTACCTATACTATTTTGGGGGTTCCTTGGCCAAAACCCTATTCAAATTATTAAGGCCCCTTCCTGGTACGGTGATATGAAGGAACCCTAAACCCTAAACCCTAAACCCTATAATTATAACCCCATAGTATTGGTGATTCTTCCGGCCCCGGCCCCTACGGTAAAGTCAAGGTGTTGTCCCTTTCAGTTGCGGGTTTGGAAAGAACCCCTAAACCCTAAAGCCTAGAGCCTAAACCCTAAACCCTCAACCCTCAAACCCTAAACCCTCAACCCTAAACCCTCAACCCTCAAACCCTAAACCCTCAACCCTAAACCCTCAACCCTCAAACCCTCAAATCCTCAACCCTAAAGGGGAGCGGGGGGGGCGAGTTGGATCAAGATGCCCCGAAAGCCCTTCGACCCTCCTCAGGCCGTAAGCTCTGAAAGCCCAAAGGATGCAAAACCAAACAGCGGGTTTAGGGTTCACGGGTTTAGGGTTTAGGGTTTAAGGTTTCGGGTTTAGGGTTTAAAGTTTACGGTTTAGTGTTTAGGCTTACCTACGGCTGATGAGATAAATCCTGCATGACCCAAAATAAGGAATACACCATAATTCCCACAGTCTAGGGTCCTTATAAGGCAATGCATGATTTATATCATCAACAGTAGCTTAAGAGGTTTAGGCCCACCCTAAACCCGAGACCCGAAACCCGAAACCCTAAACCGTAACACTGGTAATGACCAGTTAAAGGAACGTTTCAGGCAACCCCGTATAGTAACCGTAACCCTCTAAGGGAGCATTAATGCAAAGGGAACCTTCAAGCAACCCTTGCAGTAAACCCTAAACCCTAAACCCGTAAACCCTAAATCCTCAACTCTAAAACCCTAAACCCTAAACCCTAAAACCCTAAACCCTAAAACCCTAAACCCTAAGCCCTAAAACCCTAAACCCTAAACCCTAAATCCTCAACCCTAAAACCCGAAACCCTAAATCCTCAACCCGAAAACCCTACACCTTAAAACCCTAAGCCCTAAAACCCTAAACCCTAAATCCTTGACCCTAAAACCAAAAAGCCTCACCCCTAAATTCTCAACCCTTAAACCCTAAAACCCTAAACCCTAAAACCCTAAACCAAAAACCCCTAAACCCTAAATCCTCAACCCTAAAACCCTAAACCCTAAACCCTTAAACCCTAAAACCCTAAACCCTAAATCCTTGCCAACCAGGTCCGTCAAGGATTTTGGTCGCTGGTCCCAGCGACGGCGCTACGCGACGTAACGCCGCCAGGGGCTCAGGGTTTAGAGTTTGGGGTATATTTGGGTTGCCGAGAATAAGGGGTACCTTATTTTGGGGGTCCTTATAACAAGGATCCTACTATTCCTAATAATTAGATTAGGATTTGGGGTATATTATACTTTCATTATAAAAAGGAACCCCCGAAACCCTATTCTCATTACTGAGGCCCCTACATTATATCTGGGTTAAGGAGTTGAGGGTTTTAGGGTTAAGAGGTTGGGGTTTCGGGTGTAGAGTTTAGGGTTTAGGTTTCTAGGGCTCAGGGCTGAGAACTTAGGCTGCTGGGGCTTAGACTTCAGGGTTTGGGCTGGGCTCTTTGTCGGTGTCGGGGTTTCGGGTTTGGGAGCAGTGGCCCTAAGGGTCCATGTGCACATCTAGTATATACATTGGCGTTAATGTAGTCCCTATATAGGTAGTTTGGGGCCCATGTATATGCTATATGAGTACATGGACCCTTAGGGTGGAGCTGCTCTTTGATCGCGGATTCAGGTCCTTGAAAGTTTTCGAACGTCCAAAACGGACTCTGACATTTGTGTAACAAGATTGGCCTGTAGTCCCTACTTAAAGGATCATGGGACTTAGTAAGTGGGGTTATAACGAAGGTAACTATACTTATATAACCCCAATTAGGGGACTTCTAACCTTACTTACTAAGTCCCATGATCCTCCAAGTACGTTGGTATCTCGAAATCTACCCAAAAGCCCTGCTCCTATGCACTGAAGACAGGCCGCCGGCGCTGCAGACCCTAAACTCTAAACTTCCAAAAACTTGAACCCTAAAGCCTTAAAACCTTTTAAGACCTTAAAAGCCCTTAAAAACCACAAAAAACCCGTAAAACCACCAAAACCCCTAAAACCCTAAACTGGCCCCAAACCCTAAATGAAGACTCTAAGCCCTAAGCCGTAAACTGGCCCTGAAGCCTAAACCCTCATTTCCTCAACAAAGGATCTGAGCAACTCGCATAGGGTTTAGGGTTCTAGGGGATTTGGGGATTTTGGGGATTTCGGGTTTAGGGTTTTTGGTGGTTTTGGGGATATATGGTTTGGGGTTTTTGGGGGGTTTGGGGGATTTAGGGTTTAGGGTTTTAGGATGTAGAATGTAGAACATCATCTGTGAGGTCAGAGCTCCGCCAGATCGTTTGCCCGACCGTGCCGGTTCGCGAGGCGGGGGGGTTGTGTGGTAATGTAGGGGCCTTATAATAATAATTAGAAGAGGATTTTGGGGGCCCCTTAGGCTATAATTAGATTAAGGAACACCCAAAATGGTATTGGTACAGCAATTGACTAGGCCCCTTTATTCTGATAGGAAGCAGGGCCTGCATTCGGGATGGGACACTTGTGCTAGAATCACTGCTTCATGTAAGGGTCGCTGTCATTGCTAGTAGTTTTCCATGGGGAGGAGGCACAGGAGTTAAAACCTAAACCCCTAAAGCCCTAAACCCTACACCCCGTAAACCCTAAACCCTAAACGCTAAGCCCTAAACCCCCTAAACCCCCCTAAACCCCCTCAACCCCCTAAACCCCCTCAACCCCCTAAACCCTAAACCCTAAGATGCCAGTCTCTGCCGTCGTACCAGGACATCGGGTTCGAAGTTGAAGGTTCCTGGTACGTAGGGTGCAAGATTACGGCTCCAGACGCCCCTCAGCCCTAAACCAACACCACAAACCCTAAAGCCTTAACCCTAAATAACCTACCTTTTTAAGGACTAATAGAAGGAGTTCATATTAAGGAACTCTAAAAAGGTAGGTTCTTCAGGGTCCAGGCAAACCCCAAACCTAAACCACAAACCTAAACCACAAACCCCAAAACCCTAAACCCTAAACCCTAAACCCTAAACCCTAAACCCTAAACCCTAAACCCTAAACCCTAAACCCTAAACCTAAACCTAAACCTTGGCCCTCTTAGGGCTTTAGGGAATTTGGGGAATTTTGGGCTTCATCCCAGCCGATGGCAGCAGGACATGAGTCTCCGCCAGATCTTCCGTGTGGTCTTCGAGGATGATGTGAGCGAGTGCCAGCCCTTGGTCGAGGCGGCGGTTTAGGGTTTTAGGGTTTAGGGTTTAGGGTTTAGGGTTTTAGGGTTTAGGGTTTAGGGTCTAGGCGGCCTTGTTGCGGATTTCTCTGGGTTGTTCTAGTGTGTCTTGTTTTTATCTTCGTGTGTTTTCAAGGCTTTCTGGGCTTTCTATCAGGTTTTCTAGGCTTTGCAGAAGGTTTTCCAGGGTTTGAGGACGAGCCTGGTTTTAGAATGCAGTGGCTTCGGGTTTAGAATTTCGGGTTCCGGGGCGTCGGGTTTGGGATTTGGGATTGGCGGCGCGCGGTTCAGGATTTATCTTTGGGTGCACGGTTTAGGGCTCATTGGGTTTAGGGTTTCTAGGGTTTAGGGTTTAGGACTTAATTTTCAATTAGGGTTCTGGGTTTAAGGTTTAGGATTGGGCTCAGGGTTTGGGGCGTAGTTTGGGTTTCAGGCTTTTGGGCTTGGGGTTTAGGTCCCGAATCCAGCAATTCCAGGCCTTGACTTCCAAGCTCTCTTAAACCCTATATAGCTAGTTCTCTAACTTAGGGTCCCTTCTTAGTATCCCCAAGATAGTACGGCACCCTTGCAATAACAACAAAGACCCTAAAAAGGGACCCTAACTTAGAGAATTTGAAGGAGACACCAAGGGTCTCAAAACTTCGACCCTTTGAAAGAGGGCACTAAGGGGCCTTAATATTAGAATAGGCTTTGGGGTATATTCTACTATTAAGGCCCCTACATTACCTTCTGGGAATCCCTAAACTCTAAACCCTCAACCCCAAACCCTAAACCCTAAGTTCGGGAAAACCAGAGTCAGTCGTTCAGATCCCTATGTTACCATTCGGGTTTCGGGTTTAGGGGTTTAGGGGTTTATGGCGTTTAGGGGTTTAGGGGTGTAGGGTTTAGGGGTTTATGAGTTTATGGGTCTAAGGTTTATGAGTTTATGGGTTTAGGGTTCAGGGGTCTACACGTTTATCGTTGAGGGCCTCGGAGACTGGTGTCATCCTATGGGGAGGTTGTGTGCCAAGCAGACTTGTGGATGTAGGCTTGCGTAGGTAAGGTCCTGTCACTGCAAGCCTCCCCACGAACCATCATGGTTTTGCTACACCTGCCACTTTCAGTCGTCATACCTGGACGATCCGATGAGATGTGGGCCCCCTGTCTTTCTGCAGGTTGCGAGACGACCAGCGAAGTAAGGCCCCTACATCCACCACCAGTGAGTCCTCCAGCTTCTGAGTGACTGTCATGAGGCAGGCGCCTGCCCAAACAGCTGCTCATGGGCACGAATCAAGCTAAAATCAGCATAGCAAAGGTCGTCAGCATAAGGGAGCAAATTGCACAGCAAGATGCGTAATCAGAAGACTGGCTACCAGTAGCAGCACTCGCGATGGCGCGCATTCCAGGTTTTTGGCCACGCTCTGCTGCAGCTACAGTACTTCCGAGATGACAGACCAAGCTTCAAGACTCCACGCAACCGCCTTCGGGCATCTTCTGAGCAAGCTTTGCCACCGCTTGCATTTCCGGGTCTCCGAAGGTTGTGGCAACCACCACCGCAAACGTTACCTGGACATGTTGCCAGCAATCGTTTGTCATTCGGGAATCAGCTTCAGAACTGGCAGCTCCGACGGCCTGTAACTAGCCTAGTCAGGGTCCCCTGGCCATGTGGTGGGCCTCCGGGACAATTGCCTCCAAGACCGAGTCGAACTCTGCCACGAAGTCACCTTGGCCAGAGACAATCATGAGTCTCAGTATTGTCGGAGAGCATCTCCGGAGCGTGCCCTTCACAAAGCTCAGCTCCGGCTTGGTCATGCCTTCTGGAAGTTCCACCTGTCGATCACTTCTCCCCAGCTGTCGGTGATGCGACGCAAGGCAGCTCTGGCGCTCGGGCCTCTGCAAACTTTGCCTGCACTGCAGCCTCGACGTCGTTGAGGCTCTGCAGCGTCTCGACGCCGATGATCTCAGGAGGCTTCGCTGAACCAAAAGATCCGACCCGAAGCTTCGACTCGAAGTCGACAGTTCGCGGTTTGCGAATGTACTCTGCTACCACTACTAGTAGTTAAGAGCCGGAAACCACTGACGAAGCTTGGCCCACCAAACCTCGCCTGGTTTCGTCTCACGCTTCGTCTAAACTAAAGGGGCCTTACCAATTAGAATAGGGCTTGGGGTATACTGTAAAAATATAAGTATAATAAGGAACCCCCAAAATACAATAGGTAATTATTAAGGACCCTATATTACCCTGAGGAAGTTGCGACGGTGCATCGAGGCGCAGCAATTTTGATCTTTAAACACAAGGTTCACAACCCACATGACACCTGGAGCAAGCCTGTGGCATTTCCGAGCCTTCTGGAAGGGATGGAGCAGTGCTGCTGCCAAGCAATTCTTGCCGGCGCCACTGCCCAAATCCAGAAAGACACCTGTCATTCAGAGCTGCATGCAATGGAAGGCATGCTAAACCCTAAACCCTGAACCCTAAACCCTAGACCGGAAGACATCCTTTAAGTCGTGTGAGCATAACAGGCTTCTGCAACGTGCCATGGAAGGCAACTACAGTAACTGCAGATCCTTCTGTACTCGGGGTGGCATGAACCATCATCGGTATTCAATTTCTGTACAGACCTCCTCCCTGCAGGCAGTCAAGCACTGCCGCATTCGGCAATGCTCTCATTCGCATGCTGAGGGTGGAGGAAGCACCGAGAGTCGTTACTCGGTGGTCTGTGCAGGTGTTTGCAGCTGCAAATGCAACTCTGAAGGTGACAAATGCCACCCGCGACCTACACAGACTGCGACTACATCACCACACAGACAGCTGATGAGGGCGGTGGCCGAGGTCTCGCAGATAGCTCTCGCAATTGGCGGTTCCCACCAGAATGCTGCGGCTTTACTGAAGAAAGCTCCTCTTTGCCACGTTTTGAAGGCATGCTCGTCGAGCGCCGGTGATCTTCCTCCAAGGTCTTAGACCGAGATTGCCTCGCGCTCGGGGCGCGAGCAGCTGCATTCAGTGTCTGGCGCTGCTGCCTGGCCTGCTCCTTTACATACTTTGAGTACTTCCCTTTCTTGGGGCCTCAGCAGCCCATGGTGACCAGAGTCTCGTCTTCTAGAGGACAGGGCACTAGCGACCAGTCACGTGCGGCGGATGTAGCACCAGTCTTGAGCCAAGTTCAGCGGTTTACCGAGCCGTTTGCAGAGTGGCCACTTGTTATTGCAAAAGATGCAATATACTATACTGGATTATGGTATAATATAATATATAGTATAACATGGTACAAACTGATGTATTAGAATATGTTAAAGTATACCATAGTATACCACAGTATACTATAGTATATTAAGGTATGCCACAACATATTCTGGTATATAACAAAATATACTAGAGTATACTATGGTATACTAAACTATATCTCAAAGCAGAAGGCCGCAGTCGAAGTGCCTCGATTCGGGAAAAGGGGTCCGCATTTCTCCTGCAGGGCTGGCACCGAACAGGGTTTAGGGCTTAGGGTTCAGGGTTTAGGGTCTAGGGTTTAGGGTTCAGGGTATCATCGAAACCACTGCAACAACTCGTTGTCTGGGGTTTTGGGTTTAGAGGATGAAGCTTTAACAGAGCATGCCCAATGCACAAATTGCATCTCCTTCACGAGGTTCACGAAGCGATCCATCTCAGTTCATGAGCTTCTCGTCATGAGGATGCAAAAGGGACGAGAAGCTAAGTAAGAGCCGGCAGCAAACTGCACCATGCTGTGTTTGACCAAGCAGCCACAGAGAAGCTCAGCTCGCTATAGGCAAGGGCGATGTTGGGTTCAGGCACCTGGGTGGAAACCTATACATCTATATATATATATATATATACATATATATATATATATATATACATATAGACATACATATATATATATATATACACATATACACACATATATACACCCCATTTATCTAGTTAGATATAGCAAACTATCTGCTGGAGTTTCTGCTTGTGAAAGTACAACTGGCCTCGACCACCTCTGGCGCATCCTCGCCTTCCTCTCGAGGCGGTGGCGCCTGGAGCTGACATCGAGTGGGTAAGTCACGGCACAGGCCATCGTTTTCAGGTCTCGTCTTAGGTTGTACGAGCATTCAGCAGATTCTGGCAGTAAGCATCGTGCGGGTGACCTGCTATGCCATGCTGCTACTATGAAGACAGCAGTGTTACGACCGAGAGTGGGTGTTGTAGCGTCAGTGTCCAAGAGCATGTATGCGATCACTCTCCTCGCACCCTTGATGGATATGCTTTCTGACCCGTGAGCAGGGCATGGGAGAGTGGCCGCAGATTTGGCACCACCAACCCGCTTTTCAGCCACAAGCTGGCCTCCTTCTCTTTCCGTTCGGCCATGGACTTTTGCTTAACCTTCCCACGCTCAAACACTCAACGGAACAAGCTCTGACACCCAGTCAGACACCATGGAACACTACTCGGGCCTGGCACGGCAACTAATATGCCAGACTACTGGTCAAAGAAGAGCTGCTCGCCTCCAAAGCTGGATGGTCCTTGAAGAGCTCTTCAAAGATTGCGGCACGCGCTTCCAGCTCCTCTTCCTGGGTCTCATTGCGCTCATGCTGACAAATGTCGACAGCAACACTTCCAACTCCAGGACGTATCACGACAAGTTCGTGTCTCGTCCAAAGGAAAATGTCAGCATCCACGACCAAACCAACTTTATGGGAGCGATGCAATAGCAGGAACTGCACTCTCCAAAGCTTTCGCTTTGAAACCTCCAGCATTGTCAGTTCAATCTTGGGAGAGTGGCCAACAATCTCGACTCTTTCGCAGCTTCATTGCAAGAAAGCTTCTGTCAGAGGAGGCACGGGCTCTGGCGGCACCTCGGCCGCCTGCCAAACGGATCCAGGAACACTCAGTCTCTACAGCAGCCATGATCAGGCACTGCACCCACTACGTCAGACTTGAATTACATGGCTGGAGCTTCTGGGGCGACCTCGAAGGTTTATGCAAATCGTCAGCGGCCGCATGGATAGGAGGTGTTTGGATAACCCCTCCATTTCGGCCCCTTGATAACCTCTTGCACTTGCCCGGCACCTCCTCCTCAGCCATGGCCTGAGCATGGGCTCAGAAAGGCAAGTTCAAGGCAAATCGACTCATTTCCGTCATGTTGGAACCCTTCGCATGAAGTATACAGAGCGCAAAGCGAGGCCTTCTGTGCCGCTTTGTGTCGCGGGGAGGGACAGAGGGTCCTTTTGAAGGCTAAAGCCACATAGGAAAGCTTCATGCGAGCCAACAATCCATGTTTAGGATGCCCTGAATATTGGCTGCAAGTAAAATGACAGCAGACTAACACCACACACACACACACACCTTTCTGCTCTGAGCGCTGGCGTGCAGCTCCCAAATATCTAGCCCATCGGCTGTTGGATCTCACGCAGAGCACAAGCTCATCTAGCAGCTTCTAAGATCCGGCTCATCTCGATTCAGCCAAACAGCGAGGATTTTGCCACCTCCTCTCTACCACTAAGGGGGCAGATGAAAGACACAAGGAATTGCAAGATGTCCGGGCAGACACAGTGCACGCTTGGAGCGCACCTCATTGGAGGCCAGTTGATTATCACTCTTGCGATTCATGGAATCCCTTTCGGCGACTGTGCATATGTAGCACCCAAAAAGATAACGGTGACAATGCCTTGCAGAACGTGCCTGCGCTCTCCAAGAAACGATTTATTGGCTCTGATGAACGATATCCACTGGTGGGATCAAAACTCCTGTCAAAACGGCCAATGCCTCCACTGGCATTTTGCGGCTGCTTCGCACAGCAACCCGCAGCTATCTATACCCTGGGCGTGCGACCCGACATCGGGCAGCCTAGTCCGTATGTAGGTTCTGTTCCAAGATGCCCCGTCTGACAATACGCCAAGGATCTTGCTGTATGGGCCGCTTCATGATACGTGGCTCAGCGGTGGGAAATCGTGAAAACCAGCAGCGGGTTTTGGAGACGGTCGCAAGCACAGCCCTGTGAAACGTGTAGGGTAGGTGCTTCCTACACGCGCGCAGGCATGTCTCCTAGGTGGGTTACCGTGCTGCCGGTAAGAGCTGCAACTGCGCTGAGACAGACTGAGGGCGTTCTGACGCATGTCGAGCTCTGTCGGAATGCTTGTCCGTCTTGCATGCCCAGGGTACACTTCCTGAAAACATTTCCGAATCAAAAACACCAGCAATTTCGGTGTCCGTGAGCATGTCTTCAACATGCCGGGGTGAAACTACGGGGTTGCAGCTCTGCTGCCTTGCTAGACATTCCTCTCCGCCCCATATCAAACAGTCATGCGCACCAATAAACTGCACCAGCTGACCAGTCACTGCTTGTCAGAGGGTCACCCACGTCTGGCCAACAGCATGCGGACTTGCGCTTCCCTTTTTTCTCTACACGGGATTGAAACCCTCGAAGTTACCAAGGGGAGCCGTCACCAGAGCCCTGCTCTCTGAAGCGAGCCAGGCCCACGGGGGACTGTTTGCGAGTTGCAAGATCTGGAGCTGGGGACGTCTCCAAGGTCGTGTCCTGCAATCCCGCTAGATCTCACATGCGGTGCTGCAACAGATGGATAACACCTTAGCTGTCCTGGAATGCTTTCATGATAAGGAGTCCTCGTAGTCAAAAGGATGGTTGTGCTTGAAGGGCTCCAGATCCTCTCCGAGCAGAAGCTGCAACTTCGTGTCACTGTTCGCACCGGCACGCCGCTAACCCCAATTTCCTTTTCAAGCGTTGGGTAGTCTGGATTGGCATTCTGATAGTCGAGGCACGCCTCAGTCGGACAGGCGAAGGATGCGAATTGCAGCCACGAACGCCCCAAAACAAACTACGAGTATGATGCGCAAAGGACTCCCTAGAAAAGAGACAAAGAGGCAAAGGCAGCCAATTTTTGCCCAGAAGCTCGTTTCAGGCAGTCAACCCACTCACCGGGCTTCCGAGGAGCGACGAAGTTGATCATCCACTTCGGGATGATACCCTTGCACCAAGTGAAGGGTGGACCGCAAATCTAAGGACAATGCGGAGAACTTGGCACCTGGCCTTCACATCGGTCATTGTCATCAGAAAAACTTTGGTACCCTTCTCCTTCCTGATGGCGATGCTTCTAGTGAAAATTAGGCTCAATCCGAAGAACATGCATGCAATTCTGCTCCCTGAGAGCGGTGCCCGTCGTCGTATCGGCGCATGACGTAGCCGGAGGTGAACGACTCGGCACGAATGTACCTCAGCTCTTCGACATCACGACTCATCATGACTCCAGGACTCACTGGAGACGACACCAAGCCATGCACCACAGTTCCTAGGCCCCTTGAGGCTGACGGATGCAGGATGCAGGGGTTCAATGAACTTCGAAGGCAACTGTACAACTACAGGAAGATAAGTCCTTTCCTGCAGTACTCAGCATGCGGCCCGTTTTTCTCCGGCATGTCGGGGTGGATGGCCGATCGAAGACTGATGAGAATTGTTCCGTCCTGTTGCTCATGCTTGACTCGGGACCTTCTCTTGTGCACCCAAATGCATCATACATACACACATACACACACACACATACATACATGCGTACGTACGTACATACATAAATACGCTCATACATACATACATACATACATACATACATACATACATTCATACGTACATCCATACATCCATACATACATACATACGTACATTCATAGATACACACATACACACACATACATACATACATACATACATACATACATACATACATACATACATACATACGTACATGCATACATACGTACATACATACATACGTACATACGTACATGCTTACATACATACATACATACATACATACATACGTACGTACGTACGTACGTACGTACGTACGTACGTACGTACGTACATACACACTACCTCAGAAGCATAGCACTATTATACAGCAAGTCTCAGTAAAGGAGATTCGCGGATATGAGGATAGGCTGCTCAGCTACAACTCGCAGGGTCTGAGGGCTTACTTGTAAAGATCACACGAGACCCAGGAAGTCAAGTGTCTGTCGAATAGGCTCATTCCGAACATACGGCCGCAGTTCTTGTTCACCATGGAGGGTTTAGTGAACTGAAAGGTTGATTGATGAAGATCCCTCGCAGGTCCTCTAAGACTTTGACCCGCCGGTACTGGACGTAGTCGCGGGGCGTGCACTTGGCCAGCAAGCAGACTGTCTTAATGCTCGAGCGTTGCATACGTCGGGGCATAAGTTTCAGAGCCCGGAAAGCTGAGAAACATGAGAGCTTCAAGGATCTAGCTTATGCCGTTTATGCATGGAGGCAACGAGCGTAAACACCAGGGCCAGGAGGAAGAGACTCCAGGGCCTCTAGGGTTTACATTCCTTCCTACTTGCAGACTCATTGATCAGGTTCTAGACAGAACCTCTCCTTCGGCTGTAAGCCCACCTGCTGCCTCGGGTACCTGCACACAGTTTCTGCCGAACCCTCGCTGCGCATCTGCCTCGGTCTATCCTAGTATCACGATGTTACCAAGACGGACGAAGTCTATGCCCAACCAGGCTCCCACAAAGCCCACTCGTCTTCGGACCATGGTATCGCTATACCGTGTAGTGCGACTGTCTGTCTCTTCAGACGAGGGTAGCCAGCAATCCTTCCAGGACTTGTTCTCAGAAGGGTGGATGCTACCCTAGGTCTGACTACCCATGGTCCACGCCCAACAGCGCGGTCTATGAAATTTGGAATCATGTCCGCATCTTGAGTTCAAACTAGGCAAGTACCGGGTGCCGAACTGCGGGGACTCGCAACACGCTGTAGAGAATGTCAGAGCCCTGGCACACAGTAGCGTGTCAGAAGTATCGCAGCACACGCTCAAGGCCGAATAAACTGTTGATGCCTCGATTTGGTCGAGGACCTTCATCTCAAAGAATGCCCGGTCCCACCTCAAACAGGTACGCAGTAGAGTCTCGGTGAGCCAAGCTATGCATACTATGCTCCCAACTTCTACCGAGCGGCTCCATACGCTTCTCACATTTGTAGAACATGTGGAATACAACCGGCAACTCCACATCCGGTAGCGACGACCAAGCCTCAGCGAACAGAAGTCGACTCCTTCTGACTAGAGACGGTCTGTGACCTCACTGGCACGGTTCCCCGATGGCCCCGGCACGCAAGAAAATGCAGCCACCGCCATCAGATTGCAGCGTCTGGCGACAAAGTGTAGTACAACAGCGGGGCTCCAGTGCCGGCATGCCCACTACCCGCTGCAAGAAGTGGAGCCAATTATTTCGAAAGGTTCCTAGGGAAATGTTTTCTGCAAGAAATCCGAAGCAACGTGCATGCTGCTCGAAACTGAACTGGACGTCGCGGGGGCCTTGGCAACCTTGATTTCCTTGCGGTCAACGCACATATCCCAGCCTGGATGATCAGTCCTAGTCTCGAAGCCTTACCTCTGGTTCTGCTGCGAGTGCTCCTGAAAGGTTAGTTAGGTGCCAGTCACTACCTGTCTGCTTGTGGCCTGAACAGGATGTTGCTCATTACATCACAGACGCAGTGATACTTGTCCGATGATGCAGAAAACCTGCAACTGCCCAAGCGGCGGTCGGTTATCTACATGTCCGACTGCTTTGCCAGCAACACAGTCAGTGTGCCTTGCATGTTTTGCGCCTCCTTCTCCAGCAAAAGGGAGAAACTTAGTGGCAACAGGGTAAGGCCATACATCTTGCTGCCCATCTTCCGAGTTTCTTGACATTGCAGTTCTGAGGCTAGTGCTCGCTCTGCGTGATCGGGATCCTGAGCTTGACGAGCGTGGCCAAAAGTAGTAGCACTCGTTCCGGGTTCACAACTTCTGCTGCTATCATGCCACGTCTTGGTGTGCACGCTTCGAGTTTGCAACTGTCATAACCACCAGAAAAAACTCGCTGCGCAAGCAAGAAGAACGGGGAGGGTGACAGCAACAGCAACAGCTACAACGGTCACAGACACAGCATCACCAGCAGTAGCAGTGGAAGAGGGCAACCACCGCGTCAACACCACCGGTGCTCCGTCATCGTCATCGTCGACACCATTTTTTGCTACGGCCTTGCGCGCTTGTTGGCGCGCATTGGCGCCGACTCTAGCTCTCTAAGGTGTCTGGCTATAAGGGCATACTTAACGTGAGGCCCAAAGATGTCGTCGACACCATAGTCGCCAGATTCATCATCATCTCTATCATCATTGCAGCAGCAGCAGCAGCACAGCAGATGCAGCAGCAGCAACAGCTGCCCATGGTAGCTCTCTCAGTCTGCATGGACACAGCGGCTTTCGATAAATTCTGCCACAGACCTGTAGATTGCAGACTGAGGCACTTGTGCTTAAAGTTGTTGTCGAACTCCATGAAGTCCTGCCCGGACGAGCTGAGAAGCACGGGGGTACGGTCCCGATCCAACAGCATCCACGAATCCTCCCATGACCGGAAGAACGGTGCTTTGAGCACGCGCTGTGGCTCATCACCGTTCCTCCTAGCACTCGAGCGATGAATCGTTCATGACGGGAGTAAAAACCACCTCGCTTGACCCAATGAGCGACATCAGTACTCAGAGCCTCTCTCCAGAGTCGCCGCTTGAAGTGCGAGATATTTCGCTGGACCAGTTGCCTAGCAAGCTCCGCAAAATCGCTGCAGGTCGGCTCCGCTGCACTGGCGTCCTGGACGAGCTCCGGCGTTGGAGAGGACGTCCATGTCCTCGTGATCAGAGTCCTGCAGTGCTTGTCGAATTTATCTGGGGCCATCTGCAAGACATCAGGTGCCTCGTCGATCTGTCTTTGTTCCCTTTCCTGTATGTTGCCCTTGGACCGGCTGCGGATGCTACCTCATTGGGCAGCCCGCGCACCCCCCCAATCGAGTAACCACAGCTTTGTGAAGTTCAGCCTGTTCGAGCATCTTTGAAGATCATGCTTTCTGCCAGCACGATATTGCCCGTGGCCTGGCAACTAACAGCACAGGGGTATCTGGAGAGATTCACATGTTGTGCGTCTCGAAGGCTCTGCACGGCACCTGGTTCTTTGCAGACAGCTGCTGCTGCTGCCTGCTAGTGTCTGGGGCAAGCTCTTTCCAGACAAACGCCATTGGCTATGGTCGGGATGGCAACCCTGTAAATGACCTTCTTGGGTATGTCACTCCAAGGCGGGAGGAGGGTTTGGTTAGCAACACACAACACAGATTCGCTATTCTGCACACGTAACAGCTGCAGCACTCACACAACTTAGGCCCCGGCGAGATCACAAACCTTCGCACGTGAGGGCGCTTGAAATGAGATGGCGTGGCTGATTGCGGAACTGTCAAAAACTAAGTGACTGCTTTATTTTCGACGTGAATCCCATACATCCTCCGCCGTTGCACAACTGGTTCTGAATTGCAACATGACAAAGCACCTTTACTTCCTGGCAACAACGCCAGGGAGAGAGAAACGACGTTTCATCGACGTTGGTCCCAAGGAGGAGCATGCTGGCTTTTTGCCAATAGAAGCGTCGAAGCTCGGCTCCCCATGTCTAACTTGAAGGTTCTGTGTCCCAAGAACCCTTCCCTGCAGTAGCCTGACGAGCTCGTTGTCCAACAGCCGCTCCACTCGATGAACGAAGTTCTCCTGCCCAGAAGCGAAAGGACCCCTGCGTTGGGATCAACGTGGCCCCTTATTTGGGATTCAACATTGTCGGACATTTGCGTAACCCTGAGTCGTGTAAGCAGCATGCGCCTCTGGCTCTGCCAGGACGCGTGAGGAGCAGCGGTACATCACCAGAAGGGTTTGTAGGACTTGCCTCAGATATCATGCCAAGCTCCTCCCTCCGTTGCCAATAAAATCCTGGATGCCAGGACCCTGAACTCACATCGCTTGCAGCCCCCTGAAACTTGAGAGCAAAATAGGTGAAATATGGTGAAATGGTCTCGCAAAGAAGTTGCTAGACAGACATTGCGCCTCACTTTTGCCCCTGCTGGCGCCGACTTCTTCCCCGGAGCTCGGGGTCTGGACTTTCTGTGGCAGAACTTGACATGTGCGATACTTTGGACCATCACGGCTGGTCTGATGACCGCACTTCTGTCATGGCATTCTGCCGACAGTGCTGGAAGCGAAGTGCTGTTCCCAGCTTGAGTCACAAAGCACATTGTGAATCTAATTTAAAAGAATTCTTTCCCCTTGTGGAGGCCTGGCCGTCTGAAACAGTCACCGCTCAGCTCAAACGCCCGCGGCTGAAACTGACCACTTCACGCACCACAGTCAAGCATTGCCTCAGCAAGCCCATGGCAGGTTCTGTCCACTCAGCTTCTTGACCCGTCGCTTCATGCCAAGCGCTTCAGTTTTGAAACACACCCCGCCCCGCACCCTTAAGGCCCTTAAGGCCCTGAAAAAAAGACCAAGGGCTTAGAGATGCCCAGTACGCTGAAAGCACCCTGGGAAAACGGTCGAAGAGCCCCTGCCTTGAGCTGGTCTGCCATCCGGTATGGTGGATCCTGAACTTCTCCACACAGCGTGTATGGGTAGTTCTCTAGATTAGGGTCTCTTTTGGGGGTTCTTTTTACAAGGGTGCCGCACTATATTGGGGACCTGAAGGGGGACCCTAATCTAGAAAACTACCCATATAGAGTCTGGGTCTGGGTCCAGAGTTCGGGGGAATTCTTAGAACGATGAGGCTTAAGGGGTTTAGGGCTCATCATGGCTCATCGCTCCGTGTTGTCAACCGTCCAAGGGTCCCGGACGGGCCCTCTTCGGCACGCAAGCTTTGTACGCGGGGAAGAGCACGAGGGGACCGGCCTTTCTGCAGCAAAGCCTCCACCCCTTCATTTAACTCTTTTAATTGGGTCGTGCCTTGCTTTCCCTGCGTTCGCTGTGCTCCTCGAGATCGCGGACTGGGTAACATTGCTCAGCTATGAATGCAAAGCAGCTCAGCGCCCCACAACTGCAATGATGCGATCAGGGGTTGGCGCGCGAATCTGGCAGGTGTTCTAAAGCTACAGACGACCTCTCGTGCCTCAACCGCCTCAACATTGTTACAAGAAGGAGAGTAGCGTCGTCCACTTCGCAGACATCAAAGAAACATTACGCACCTGCTTGGGCCAGCGGCTTGGCGAGCTGCTTCGCCGAGGCACTGCCCCGTTCGGGCAGTCTGAGAGCAGAGGTCAGAATGAACGAAGTCAGAAGCTTCAGGCCCATGCTGACCCGTCTGTCAAGGAGCAGATCCAAGTCGCGTTGCAACTAAAGAAAAAACGCACTTGTCTGACACATTGCCGCTTGCCCTCCCACGTACTGCCGAGGAAACCATATGCAAAAACGAGACTCAAATCTAATCTCCAGGCACCGGAGAGGTAGTGATGCTTGTCCAGAAAACTGGTCATGACCTCCGACACAAGGGGTCTGAGAGTCTGAACCTTGTACTGCGATCTGGTGGGCATCCAAACTGTGACGACCTGCGGTCTGTCCAACACCAGCTACATGCTTCGAACGATCGCGCCACAAGCTGCGAGACTCTCGGAGAAGAAAAGCAACAGCGATTTCGGCGACATCAGACAATCGGTGGTTGAGATTCTGCGACTGCTGCCAGGTGCTAAGCAGTTGGGAGATGCTTGAGCGGCCACATGCGAGTACTGTAAATGAAAGCTGCTCCAGAGATGCACTTAGAGAGCTCTGGAATCTTGCATCGAAGTGCGGCTGCTCTCTTCAAGACTGCTTCGGGCATACTTGTTGGCAGCCCGCCTCATAACGGCGGAGCCCAAGATTCACCCCAGATGGAAAGAGACCGAACAACTGCACATCCGAAGCCCAGCCCCTTCAAGCGGTGCCTTCGGTTTGATCAAGGCTGTCAAGTCCGTGTCGGTCATGATGTAAAGGATGGAGGCCAGGTTGCCCGGGAACAGGTCGCAATAGTTCAGGCAAGAGCACACCCTGCCGGAGAGAAGCGAGCGCAAAGGCTCCCTTCGACATTTCGATTTTCTCAGATCAACACTGTAAATTGCAAAGAAGCGCGGCCTGATCACGCAGTCCTCCGTCAAATGCCCGTGCGGTAGGATCCTCGATGTGTTGCAAAAGTATCAGTCTGACGGGAAGAGAGCGAAATCCAATGTTTCGCCTTGCTCTAGCTTTGAAGCTGGGCTCTGGCGGCCGAAGATGACACCCGAGAGCTTCTGAGATGCACAGAAGGCCTGCAAAGAGAATGCCAACCGGTGATTCGGAAACCATGATTCTAGGTAGTGGGGTCGCACAGGCTCCCATACCTTCAGGGACTGATCATCGAGCACGGTTCTTGCCCCCAGGTCTCGAGACAGAAGCGAGCTTGGCCTGAGATGCTCGCAACATCTCGCAACCGGTACACCACGACAACAAAGGCAGCATCTCTGCTCCCCTCCTACTCCCAAGCTCCCAGACTAATCCAAGACGCGTGAAGAGCTCCAGCAAAATCTGACACCGGGGGGCAGAAATAAAGACAAGTAACAGAGGAAAGCAAGAACATCGTCGCAAGTCGTGATCATGTCCGAAGAAAGCTCCCCTAAACCCCTCCGAGAGCTTAAACCTGCAGGTCATCACCTGTCCTTGCGCTTCTGCCCCGCCTGCTCACTATCAGTGTCATCGCTGACCAACTCGCTCGCCTGAGATGGATGCCTCGGTCTCTCAGTAGCACATCGCATCCCCCATTCCAGGCACAGTAGCTGTGAAGGGCATCGTTCGTGTTGCGCGAAAGGTGGCGAATGCTGGTTCTGTAAACTGGGTGTCCTACACCAACACAACATCATAGGTTCACAACCGAGAAGCGGCAGCGACAGCGGCTTCTGGTACAGGTTGAGCTGATCCTTGGCACGGATTGCAAGTCAAGGGAGCATTGCATGCCTTCCCTTCTACCGGAGTGGGATTGTCACTGTGAACGCAACACAACGCGTAGCCCCCGAGCTTTGATGGAACAGGTGTCCATGGCCGCCAAGGATGCGGGCACAACGCCCGGCCCCATCGCCAGGAAGCCGCTCCACGTTAGGGCGGCCAGGGAAAGGTGGTCGAACCTCAGAGGTCTTGCTAGAGAAGCAATGGATCACCACAGAGTCTGCGAGAGAGTAGGCCTAGGCTCTTCCTTCGGCTGAGGCACGCAGAATTCACATACTCAAAGACCTCGGGTCCTGCAAAAGGAGGCCGACCCTTCCAGAGTCAAGCCCAGACCGCCAATGGCTGCAACACTTCTCCTGCTGCACCTAATCGCCTTTCACATTCTTGCCGAAAGCCAAGGTGGTAGTTCACATGTCGATTCTCCTGAGGCTGAGAATCACATCACAGGGGCAGGCCTCACACATGGTACTGCAAATCTCACTTGTGCTGCACTCTGCAGCAAGAGGCATGATGACCACGAAGAAGAAAGACACGATGGGGAAATAGCACCTCGCAGAAAGGTGTCGAACCTCTACTGTTAATCATAAAGCCGAAAAGTCCACACTTATGCAAGAGTTGGCCTTGAGGGAGAAGAGGATCGAGATGACCTCCAGTCCATAACCTCCACGATCTGCATAGTCACCCAGGAAAACATAGTTCACATACCTCATGTCTGCTGCAAACACCAGTCTAACGAGAGCCTGCATGCACGACACTCACGCATGAGCATCCAGAAAATATCCATGGAAGCCTATTTGCTGCGAAAGCGCTGCAGGTCACCTTTGGGCCCGTCTGATGGTGGCTTGTGCCACTTAAACCACGATAGAAGGTCACAGAGCTGACCATGCAGTGAGCCTCGCAAGGAAGCCCCATCGCCCTTAATCAAAGAATGACATGCGGATTCCTGGCCGCCGTGTTGGCCGGAGAATGCTGGCTGCGTGCAGGCGATCGGGGACCCTCATCCGCGCGCTGACCGTCTTTGCAATCGAGGTCTTGTCGGCGGCTTCATCACCGCTTTGGTGCGGAAGACGAGGCCCGGCACACTGCTGATGCTGTGCTGAAGCAATGATGTTTCTGCTGTTCCTGATATGCGAACCGTGTCCTGTCTAGGAGAGACTGGCCGTTGAACAGGTGACTCGAGTTCGAAGTTTCTCTCATGGTTATCGAGTTGGGATGGGTTTGGCCGAGCGGCCAAAGACCTTGATCGGCTCTACCACTTTCGGAATGATCCTGGGTTCCGTCGCGGCTTCCATGATGTCAAGGCCTACCACTTTCCGCCGAGGCTCATCTCCTCCTCCGCCAGAATTGGGCGGACCGCCCTGCCTGAGGCAACAGAAGTTTTGCGGTAGAACGGTGTAAGCTTAAAGAAACATCAGAAGGTCCTAAATACTATGAAATGGCTTTAAGGTTTCAACTCTGTATACTGAAGCCTACACCCCAAACCCGGAATAAACACGACGCTCCGAGATCGATTGGTCGGAATTGAAGACACTTGCACTGACGATCCTACTGTAAGCCACCGTAAGCTCCAGGCAGAGGTCGACGAGCTCATCAGATGTCAAGAGCACAAAGCTTCCATCCGCTGGAGGCATGAGGCCTGGCTCGTAAACCTACGACTGACCACAGTAGGCGATGGCAGGAAGATGGCATGTTGAAGGTTGTTGACCATCACTCGGCCCTTAAGCGTGCTTCGCTTCTGTCGTAAGCACAGGTTTTCTCACGCAGCTTGGACAATCTGGGCAGCCTGGAAAGTCTTCCGCGCTGAGCGTCTCCATGACGCGTTCCGCGGCAAGTACGGCGTCGGCAGTGCCTGGAACGAACTAGCACGGTCGTCGTACGACTTGGTTCAGTGTAAGCGCAAAAAGAAACGCAATCGCAGGCAGCTGCCAAGATGATAATCCGATGCGCTTTATCATGATAGCTTACCAGGCTCACCAGCAAGCTCATCAGCTTCTGCCATGGACACGGACCCAACCGGTGCTCTCGATTGGTGGGTGAAGAGGTTCAGACCTCATGTGCAGCCCAGGTTCCCGGGCCGTCGTCCAACGCGATGCGGCACGCAGGCGCAGGTGGCAGGTACGCATCGTAGGGTGGCAGATTGACAGGCACATCCTCGAATCAAATCCCACAGTCTCCCCCACGACTTCCGCAGAAATCGGCTCCTTTCCCTTCAGGGAAGGCGGTGAAACCAACGATCCCGGGTCCTTCGCGTCGGGGCTCGGGGCGTCGCTTTCGAGGCCCAGGATGTAAGGGCTCATCTCTGAGTCCTCTGAAGTGGGGAGTCTGAAGCAAGCAGAGGGGTTCGGAGGTTTTGGGTCGAGAATTTGGGGGTTCAAGGTTGAGGTTGTGGGTTCCGGTTATTCTTAATCGCCCCCTTTCGCCTGCAGATACGGTTGAAGACCAATTTGGTTCAGGGTTTTGAGTTCAGGATTTTGTGCAGCTTCCCGGGCTGTTGGTGAAACCTTCTGAGCGATTCACGGACTTCCCTGCTCTGTCTGGTCCGCTCCGGTGGGAGGATGGGCATGCCGGATTCCGTATTCAAGCCAAAACCAGGGAACAGCACGGCGCCTGCTCGCTGCCCGGCTCTTCGGTCGTCAGATCTGGGATGGGATCCTCCTTGTGCCCGGCCTGGAGGCAGATGGCTGAAGAATAATATCACAAATCGGGAGGCGCCGCATGCAGGGAGCGAATGCAGGCGGCAGGCCAGCCCAGCCTAATCGCTAGGCTCAGAATCCATGCAAAATCATGCAAACCTATAGTCCTCAACTCCAGGCCTCCGGGAGCTCGAACCTTGGCTCTCTGCGAGTCAAAGGACTCAGAGTGATGAAGGGGCAGGGAGAGAAGTGGAAAACTACATGTGTATTTATATATATATATATATATACACATACATTTATGTGCAGGTATACATGTATATAGTCATGTATGTGATCTTTGGGGCATCGGCATGTAACAGATCCTGGAACCCTATCAACATCTATGAGTGAGGCCCTTCGAACCCTCAAAAAAAACCTACTGTATCAACACTTCTAAACTTCAAAGTAAACCCCTTTTGCCGTGCGGCGGCCGGAGTCGCTCCTCCAGGCGCTCGCTGCGCTCGGGGCGGCTTCGCTCCGAGCGTTGGCCAGGGGCGGCCGCGGGGGCCGCAGGGGCCGCGGCGGGGACGAAGGAGCTCGGCCTTTGGGGCTCCGAAGGGCCCGTGCTGTGCCCCGTGGGCCCCGTGGGCCCTGCCGCCCCCACCGAAGCTTGCGGACCTCAAAGGGCCCACAGAGGTTCTGTAGTCGGTTTTGCGTGAGGTTTACGGCCGAGGCGCCTCGTTTCTGCGACCGGCTCTGCGGTGGCTTTATGAGGCTCTTCTGGAAGCGGAAGAGCCGTGAAGTGCCGCGTAAGCGCTCCTCAAACACTGACGGCAGCGCTCACGCTGAGCCCGCGGCTTTCGAGAGACCAGCAAGATCAACAAGTTCTGAAAAGGTGCCGTCATAATGAACTCGTAGAACTTGCCTGTGTCAGGAGGCGTGAAGCCACCATCCTGCCTGCGGATTGCCACTCATGGGTCTCGTCTTCTTCCTATATACCGCACGCACTCGACCTACTTCGTGACATCTCGGCTACGGCATTCCGAAAACGCCCGAGCCCATACTTAGCGCTACTCAGCCCTACGAGTACTCTTCACATCTCTTAAAGACTTGTATCCCGCTCTGGGCCTGTCGTCCAGCAGGCCAAGCTCTTCTGCTTTCTCCAGCGCAGTGCCTTTGCACTGCTCGGGGCTAAGCTGTGACAGCGCGCAGTCGCGGACCTGAGCTTCGGCAAACACAGCCTTCCTTGTGGGTCTCCTGTACATGGCAGGTGAGCAGTGAGACTAGGGGTAGGCGAGCTGTCCAGCTGCGAGCTGATTTTCATTTGACCAACATCTCGAAGATGAAAAACCCAAAGCGGAATTTGATACAACGGCTATTGGAAGCCATCGATGGTCAGGCTAAGGACGCTAAAGCTATATTGGTAGACCAAGCGTCCACTCGCTCAAACTCCTCGATCTCTAACAGGCCGGAGTGGTTCATGTCGTAGAAATCGAACGTGAACTTTGCCCTCTCTCCTGTGCTGAACACTTGCAGCACTTGCACAGCTGCGTCTCATGTGCCTGGCAAGCCTACGAACCTTGGGTGTTGCGCCCAAGGCTCTCCCGGTGAAGGAATTGAGTATGTGCACGGTCCTTGACGGATGAGCAGATTACAGTCTTCGTGTCTGTGTCGAGAGCTTAGAAGTGTGTCACCACCTAACTTCATGCAAGGCACGTTGGATCTCCCGCCACGACACCCAGGAAAAACTCGTCGAAGTCTATCATGTTGTCTCGCTTGCCTGAGTTTTTGGGCACTGGGGTGCAGCTTCCGACATGCCCACGCGCGCGCACACACAACCTGCAGAACCAATTTGATCAAGGTCACGGTCAATGGCATAGAAATAAGATTGCACCACTGAGGAAGATGCCGCCTCGTAGTGCGCCACGAGCCGGCAAAAGCTTTCATAGGTCAGGTGAGCTGTTGGCTCAAGGCCATCTGGCTGTGTGCAGAACTTGTTGAACTTGCGTCGGGCTTCCGTCTCCTCTGCTTCTCCTGCCCGACGAGAGCATTCGGCCTTTTCAAGCTGCGACGCCGACTCCCACGTTACTCAGCCCCGACACCCACTGCCCTTCGCAGAACGCGCAACAGTTTGTATCAGTCAATCTGCGGCGGAAAGTCCTGCCCCTGCTTCCTCAAAGAAGTTGCTGGCACTTGAGGACGGCAGCTCGACGGGCGGACTATAGAGCGCCTGTCTCGACATGCAAGCTGTGCCTCCCTCGAAAGCTCAGACTTCCAAAGTCGGTCCTTTCCCTTGCCGTTGTAGGTGTAAGGATCCGGATAGCCTGCCGCTTCTCAAAGCCATCTTGAGCAGGCGCCACTGCGTTGCTTGCGTGGGACAGAGAAGGGACTCGTGAATACGGCGCAGTGCAAGACATTATAGCATATTATATCTACAAAGAAGAGTGAGCACATGCCCTGCATAGAATCAAACCTCGTGGTATAAAATGAACATACAATCCCGGAGCCTCCTGAGCTCCGATGGCATTCGGAGGACTCAGCGCCAGGCATGGGAAGTGTAAACACGACAGTCGGTCACACAAGTTGGAGAAAGATTTCCAGCTCGCCTCTGCAACATGTTGAAGTGTCTAAGTCCGCTAAAGTACACAGCTTTCCGGACAATCATAGTTGCCTGCCCAGCATAAATGCCCAACTCTCCTTGCCATCATGCGGCTTGCTCCACGCTCTTTGGCGCTGCCATCGGAACACAGCGCAGCGCTGCGCTGCAAAGAAGCTAGGTAAAATGCTGAATGTCAACAGTATTTGTCTTCGTTGCAGCCCCCTCCTCACGAGGGAAGTACACCGAAGCCGCCAATGTTGATTTCAAGCACGGCTTGCGTCATGCATGCGACCAGTCATTTAGCCTAACACGAGGACACGTTGCTGATGCGTCTCACAGGAGTCGTGCAGAGGCTTGAGCGTGCAGTCAAGAATGCCAAACGACGTCTCGAGACATACTCTTGTCTGGTGCACTCGAAAACCAGCATGAGATCCCCAGGTTCTCGCGAGCGGTTTCTGGCAGTACTTGGGGCCGAACATCTTGCGCAAGAAATCTGCTTGTGTCAACTTCTTCCAGTTGATCAAGATGTTGTCCATGTAGGCCTCACGACGCCCCTTTTGCAGTTGGGGCTCTCCCAAACCTCTGAGCCTACGCAATACCTAGACTCTCAACCTTGAATCCCTAAGGTGACCCCAAAGCCGATGAGAAAATTTGCCCCTACACCCCCAAATCCAAAAACCCTCAAACCCTAATCCCCAAACCCAAATCCCTAAACCCCCAAACCCTAATCCCTAAACCCTAAACCCCCAAACCCTAATCCCTAATCCTTCAACCCCCAAACCCCAGACCCTAATCCCTAAACCCCAAACCCCAACCCCCAAATCCCAATCCCTCAAATCCCAATCCCTCAAACCCTAGTCCCTAAACCCTAATCCCTAAACCCCCAAACCCTAATCCCTCAACCCCCCCTTTCATGCGGAGGCTTTCTCGGCTCCGAGGTTCCCGCCCAGAGCTGGCGCATCATGCCTTCACGCAAGGGATACTCTTGATGATGTAACGGTTTAGGGTTACTGTTTTAGGGGTTAGGGTTTTGGGTTAATATTTTAGGGTTTAGGGGTTTTTGGTTAATATTTTAGGGTTTAGGGTTAATATTTTAGGGTTTAGGGTTTAGGGATTGGGGTTTAGGGTTTAGGGTCAATGATATAAATGCTGCACTACCTTAAGGGCCCCAAACTATGGGAATGATGGTATATGCCTTACTACTCAGCATGCAGGATTGATATCATCAACCCAATGTTTGCCATATGAAAGGCTTAGGCACGGGTGCAGGAGATGGCTTAGGGCTTATAGGAGGTATGGTATTGTTTTAGCACAAGGATTGCTTTAAAACAATCCGGATTCAGGATATGGCTTAGGGCTTATAGGGGACATGATATTCGGATTCGTGTTTCCGGAGCTTGATGTGGAGCCAGGCTGCTTCGCCGGGCTGCCCAAGAGTCCAAGAGTTTCAAGGTCCGGCGCCTCAGTTTATGGACTCTGATCTTCTGCAGGGCTTGCAGCGGCTTGCATGCAACCATCATTGCATGAATGAAGAGGTGAGCTGATGCATTTCAAGCGGTTGGTCGAAATTCTCTTGGGCCCTGACGCATTTTTGGAGGCCGTGGCTATGTCTGCAACGGGCTTGAATTCCAAGACAACCTAAGTTGTCCGCTCTTTAGATCGCACGCTCAACGCCTCATCGTATCATACAAGACCAGACTATGACGAAACATCACTTGTTTGAGCATAAACTGCCCTCGACTCACTCTGGGTGGGCGCGCCAGCTCCAGATGCTGCACTGCAGCCAAGGGGTCATCCTCAACTGGGTTCTTGTTAAGGGATTTAAATTAAGTTACCATAATAGGGATCTATAGTAAATAATATGGTTTCCTTATTATGGTAACTTAAATTAAATCCCTTAACAAGAACCCAGTCAAATGCTGTTCGCGATGAAACTCTGAAGCTCACGGACTGCCAAGACATTTCCAGGCGATGCCATGCGACATGCACTGCTCTTCGTGATGCTCGGGAGTCTGCGAACTTCTGATAATGTTTAGGTCTGTCGGAAATTCCCTATGAAACTTCCTGGCTTGTTTCTATCAGACTACTGATTTTGTCTCTTCTTCGTCTACTTCTACCCCTACTCCTACTCCTACCTTCCCACTCACCCAAACTGACCTGGGTAAGGCTAGCTGGAAGTTCGAGGTTATGCACCAACAGCCCTGCTTCAGGAAGTGCATGTTGGCGCTCCTGGTCTGCAAAGCGCTCGGCAGACCAGCGAACCTCAAGAATTCAGCTGGGCATGACACACGGATCTTCAACCTTGCATGACGCGAAGTTAAGCCGAACCCTCCTGCAACCAGCACAGCGGTTCTGACCTACGCAGTAGACTCGCTTTCAATATGAGAAGCTCCTAAACCCCAAACCCTAAATCCTAGACCTCCTCCTCTTGGGAGCCAGCTAAGCTTTTCAACCGTCGGGTCTCTATCTCGGACTGCTGAATGCTCCGCATGTACCGCCGCCGATCCAAGCAGATCCTGGCAAGAGAAGGGCTTCGGTTTCTTCTGAATGCTTTTTCTTCCTCCTGTTCCATCAAGCGCAGATAGAACCCAGAGTCGTGGGTTTTGGGCTTTGGGTTTAGGTGGCGAACATCAGCTCCAGCCAAGACAGGAACATAATTATTGGTACAGATGCCATGGCTGTGACCACGTATCTCAAGTTGTCCCACATCTGAGGGCCCAGCCCGATCAGCATACCAACCTGACAACATGATGCATGAAGCCTGCTCTCCTGCCGTCAGACACTTCATGCGGCTGCCATGCAGACTCAAGAACGAAAGGTCTGCAGCAGCCCTGAAAGTGCCGAGGTGCTAAGGCTCCGAAGAGTCCACCCGCAGCCATGCCAATTGGCCCGAAAGGCATCGACCTTTCACTGTCAGTGATGTCACACAGGTTTCACAGATGTGACCGCACCACCGTGCACTCCTATCTGCAGAACATGTGGTGGTACAGATCTTTGCAGTGAGTATGACTACGAGTACAGCCTCACCGGAACTTCATCCTTCAAAAATGCAGAACGTCATGACTTTGCACCTGAAGTACCCAGCTTCTGAGCATGAACCTCTATCCGGTATCGCGGAAGTGGCAATCGAAAATGTTGTTTGCTAAAAGCAAGCAATCTTCTCAGTACCCTGTCCTCTGTCGGATGCCACATTCTGTATTCAATGAAGATGTGCAAGAGCTGAGCTGCTGCAGTCGTTAAAAGAGTTTTGAACATGCCTCTCTCCGTCGCTGTGACAAAGGGCTCCCGCACCAGGCAGCGAAAATGTCTGGGTTGCCGCACAAAATGCCCATCAAGCCGCCTCCGAAGACTGCAACCCGGTTGCGGGCCTCACAAGCGAAAGATCCAATAAAAAGTTGGTCAATCGTCACAGACATGATCCACTGACTTCGCATCAGCAAGAAGACTCACTCTTGTGGGGCAGTAGACAACTTTGTCCGGCACCCTCTGTCCAGACCTCTCGTAAATGGACTGCAGGAGGTCCTACGTGGCAAAAGGTCTGCACAGGCAGCGGACAGGACGGCTGAAGGGTGGGACAAATAGTTACGATGCACCGTTCGGACGTGCACCGATTAAATTTGCCAATTGGGTCGTAAATACCCCAGTACAGGTATGCAAATCGACAAAACCGCCACTTGTCACCCTCCTCCAGAACCCATGATCACAACGGAAAACCTACCACACGACCCCCAGAGATAGGGTCTGCAGCTCATTGTCACTTAGACAGTCGAGCATGATCTCGCTTGTATCAGCCCTGAGCTGTCCTGGTCGAACATCTCCTGGTGCTGCCTCAGCTAGCAAGATCGCTCCCGGGTTTAGGGTTGGGGGTTTCAGCGTTCAGGGCTGGGGCTAAATGCCAAATACTCGATGCGTATCTACAGGTGCATGGAATCCAGTGCCCCAGCCCCTTGACTTGGCAAAAAGCGACCTGCGCACACATCTGCCAGGAAGGATATGATGCTTGCAGTGGGACCCGCGTGCAACAAGTTCAATTCCATGTCAGGTAACCTATGCACGGAAAAAAGAGATTAAACTGACAACAAACAGCGCCGGGGAAAATAATCGAAATTTGAATCCAGCGGCGACACAACTTACTAAGATTAAACATGTGTTTTAAGTTGGTTGATCAATTCGATATTCAGCCCATCTTGTGTGCCTGTGTGCATGTCGCCTTCTATTGCTTGCTTACGCCTGTACATCCGTGTATACAAGGTGCGCAGCCCATACTACCCAAGAGTCAGAAATCCGGAAGCACGTCTCCTCGTCTCACGCTCTAAAGCATGGTACGAATACCACAGGCCCTTGAGGCCCGAACAGCCTGGCGTTCATCCACATCCGGCTAAAGGGATGTTGGTCCTGAGCCACGAATCCACATGTGGGTTTCCGAGAATAGGGGACTTTAACATAGTACCCTAAATAATATGATCCTTATTATAAGGACCCCAAAATAAAGTACTCCCTATTTTCGGAAACTCCCACATGAGTCTCCAGGCGCTTCGGCAGAACCCCGGCCGGCCACAAACCGAGCTTCCGGCATCCAGCTCCGCTTGCCTTCAGCACAGGGCATCGAAACTTCACGCGAGTAAACCGGATGTCTGAAACATCTTTCTCTCAGAGGCAAGAAGAAGCCACATCAAAGCCACAACATAGCATTTTCTGTTTGCATCGTCTACATGTCTACGCTCCCTTTCCAGGTGTTGCTGCGCTGAGGTCCCGACTCTTCGATATCGACTTTGCTGCCGGTCAGCTCCCTGAGTAAACAACGCAGGTGCACTGCGAGAAGCGCGCCTACTAGAGAGCTCAAGCGCTTCTACCCGGCTCCAACATCTTCCGCCGGGTTCCCACACCGCTTGAGGGAGAAGTGCGCGCTAGTGAAGGATGCATCGCCTCCGCCTCGGCGCTGATGGCGTTTAAGACCATGTGCAGGCTTCAACTCAGGCGATAGATGAAAACTGTTCGTGGCGTGCAGAGCATGAATGACGCATGAGAGGGGAATACCGAAGCACGCACGAGCAGATAGATGGCCGGTCAGCAGTCGTTTCGGAAGCGACCTCTTCCGTGGTCCGCTCTAAAAATACCTGATTCTGATCTTGGAACTATTTTGAACTACACTGCAGTCCTGTCTTGCCCACGACCCGACCTGTGCATGGCACTCCATACCTTTTGAAACGCGTATGTATGATATTTATTTGCTCGGTCTTGCAAGTTGACCTCGATACTTCGCGAGATCAGTTTATCAGTTTCGGCAATGAAGGGCAGTAGGACGTCGTGGACTCCCCTCTTTCACACGCATCATGACTTGCTGAATTAATTGGCACGGTACCTTGTGCCTACGTCCCTGTGCTCCACCGACATGCCTGGCGTGTGGAAGCTTTATCCACCGTGCTGCTAGCCTCGAGTCTTCAGACTTCGAAGATTGATGCCCTGGTCAGTTTGTTCTGCTGTCGAAGAGGCAGATGCCTCTTCAGCAGTCAGGAGCATTGCAGAACAGCTGGAAGCTGACTAATGCACGAATCCAGTGTTTTCCTCACACCTGCGAACCTGTGTCAAATTCTCCCAGCTTGGCAGCGACTTGTGGACAAAGACGCCTTCGGAAACTGTTGGACTATCAGATCCCACTCGTGGTTGTCACGATGAGAGGTGTGGCCGTGCTGTCCGCACTACATTCTAGCACGCCCCAGCGCCCAGGGTGTTTTTGTAGGTTAGTTTATTCGACTTCCTATTTGCTGGTCTATCAGTTTGTTTGATCTGTTCACATACAGATTGTTGTGTGGTACCACAAAATGAATTCAAATTAAGAACCTTGGGATGCGAGCATGCCTGCGGGTGCTCTCTGCATGCGTTATTGCCCACACAGAGATCGATAGACAGACTGGTAGATCGCCGGCAAGACAGATGGAAGACAAACTTGTCGCAACCTTGTGCACCGATGTGCGGTTCCTGCATCAGCAACGATGCTCATGCTGACTGTCTTCTGGACAACATTCTAGGGAGCGGGCCAAGGACTTGCGCAGCGTGAACTTGCGCACCGTGACCTTGACGGGGACCTTGACGGGCTACCAGATGTCAAGCGGCCACCAGGTAGCAGATGCGAAGAGTATGAGTGATGCGACGAATACAAAAACGGAGGCACACGAGCCTCCTTGGCACGGCCGACCAATTTTCAAGAAACCCTCACACCAAGGTGCCACACAGTGAGCAGCCCCGGACTTGAGCAAGTCTTACGTGACCTTCAAGAACTGCCTAGTCGCTATGAGCCTTCAGCGGAAGGGGAGGGATTCGCGGTGGGGGCTGCTCCGAATTATTCCGAGGTGGCAAATGCTGCACACCTTCAGCTTTAACCCAGTAATTAGAGCACCGCAAGATGACGACATCGGGCAACATTGCATGTTATGGCTTACTGTTCTTCCGCGGACTCCGCGCCTTGCACTGACCCTTGCGAGTGCTTGCGAACACACAAGGCTTCGAGCTGCGGCTGTAGGCGCAGGTCAACGGTTGCGTACATCAACGTCTGCGTGCTCCTTGTAGAAACCCTTACAGCACCCTCTATGGAGCCACGAACCGCCGGAGGTTGTTCGATTGGCCTCCTTCCAGCATGCTCATTCTGAGAGCTGCGGGCTTTAAGACCGACGATCCACCTCTCCATCGCCAGCCAAGGCCATGACAAGCCGCTTTGGGCTGGGGATTTCGGGCTTAGGATCCAAATCCTGGATCGGGTATGGCAGGCGACGTCAGAGTCTCACAAAGTAGAGACGCGGCCTCTTCTGGTGCAGAACCATTGCTTCTGTCGGCTCGGGGCCCATTTCTTTTCCAGCACCGTGGTCGCAAAGAAATCACATGATTATCATGTTATGGCTCTGCTAGGTCAGACCCTTAACTTCACAGCGCAGGTTGGACTCTTGCAGTACAAGGGGGTTGGGGAAAATGGATGTGGGGTTTTTTGGGGTTCAGGGTCAAAGGCTTGAGCCCCAAACTGTGGAGCTTGGGGCGGGCCGTCTTTGAAATGATGGTTCTCTTTATGTCGACAGTTCCACCACGAGCATGGCCGAGCACTTGCACGAATGATACCGTGGCGTTAGCTTGAATCATGATACAACGTCTGGCTTCCAATCAGACTCAGGCCGTTTGTTAGAGTCAGATTGAACACGATTTCAACGGGGTCTGTCACCCAAGACAGCATTCAAAGCCCGAAGTTTCGAGACACAAATGCCCGACGGCACTTGAAGAAAGTGTGCTCCAGGGTTCTCTGGTCTCTTCGCACTTCCAGCTGTGACTGCGACTTCCGGGTAGGCAACGAACATCTCCAGTCATATGCTCGGGATCTGTATGAGTATGACCGTGTACTCAACGGTTGCAGGCCGGTTTGCGATGCTTGCAATGCATACAGTATCATACGGTTGAGACATCCTGAATTCGCCTAGTGGCGGATGCTGATAGCTGGACCGCAGCTTCTGATTCCAGCACAGCGACGGCATTTTAGCAACGGCCCTTCGGGGCGTCACATGCACAGCTAACCCGCGGGCGCCAACAAGCAGACGCACAAGCACATGGGCTGGCAAACAGATGATCTTCGAAGACCGACAGACGCAGACACAGTGAGACATACGGGCACACAAACACAAACACACATGAACACGATGAGGCAATTCCGGATCCCTCGCAGCCATCCAGAAAAGAGTTCAGTCGGATCCAGAGACCCTTTGCCTTTGTTGCCAAACCTGAGTTCAGAAGTCTTTGTAGAAACACCCAAAGCTAAGCGTGCGGCTGCTGAGGCGAGGCGATGGTTCAGCAGCAACTTCCTCCAAGCTCCCGATGTGTGAACTAGGAGAGCCATATCTTAGCTTGAGACTTTAAGGAATTTCACGCGAAGAACCGTGGGCTGTCCTGGCTCTTTGCGTGCCAGGCCTCTATCCGGCCGAGCCTCCTGGCAGTTGGTGGCACTTGACAAAATACAGTGGCGGTTGACAGCTTCTCCAAAAGTATATACCCACATGGACGGGGCTAGCGGCTGGCGTTGGGAAGACTCTTTGTTCTCGGCGCTGCACGCTCTTCGGCATGGGAACCATTAAGGATTCAGCGTGGCATGCTAACCATAAAGATCGCGCATGATTGTGCCGCCACTATGTCTCGCACTTGCCCGCCGAACACGGAAGTCGGGAGCCTGTCGTACTCCTTCAGGAGCTCCTCCACGCTGGTCGAAACCTCGCGGTCCATAAGTAACAGTAGCAGTAGTGGTGGTACTGGTAGTCGTAGTAGCAGTCGTAGTGTAGGAGTAGTTTTGATTTCAGTAGTCGTATTAGTCTTAATCTGGCATACTGCGCTCAACGGTGTGCATTTGCGCTTGAGGTAAGACTGCGAGTGGTCATGCGGGCAAACAGGCTCTTCAATTTCATCATGCTGATGTCCTGAAGAGGACGTCTTTCTTCTGCTGCGTCCTGGTCCAATCTGCAGATGTTTACGAGTCAGCAGCTGCGATCTAACTTCCACTGTGACAGCAGGGGTGGCTTCATGGCTGCACCTGTACACTGTCAACTTCTGGATCTTCGTCTCGTCTACATGTTCCCGTAGCATGGCTTGAGATGATGATTGCCGGCAACCTTCGCAATTCAGCCACCTGATGGGTGAAGCAACCAGCGCTCTTCCTCCAAGCACAGAACTGAAGAACTGTGGTCTCCTCCTCCTCTGACGTGATGATAGTCGGCATGACGGTGTGCTCTGGTGAACCAGCTACTGTTGCCGCAATGCTGGATCTTCTGCTAGGAAGGGGATGCGAGTTGCAGGGTCAATTGGGAGCTTGTTTTGTCTTGCAGTGGACTGAACGCGAGGGAAGTGAGTACAGATGAGTACACATCTGGCTTGCCCGTCATGTCGTATGTTCCTGTTTGCAGGTTGAGCTGCGGAGATCAGATCGCACGCGATGACTTACGCATGCCCGGCTGCCAAATCGCCATGGTAACAACATGTTGTGAAAATCTCCATGTACATGCAAATGGCTTACGTGACCGTCTGTGGTTTGGGAAGCACCTGTCCAGGCATCGTCCAGAAGCTGCCTTCGCTTCGCTGGACGTCGCTGCCGGACACCTCGCTGAGCTGCATCTTGGGCGGCAGGAAAGAGATAAAGAGAAGGGAGGGAGGCGAGAGAGAGGGCTAGAGAGAGAGCGAGAAAGAACGAGAGTGGAAGAGGGAAAGAGGAAGGGGTGCAACATGGAACCGAATGGCATCACAATGCGCCCCGCAAGCAGCACACAGATAAGCATGGCACGTCTGCGATCACTTTCCAGGGGCCTCCGAGATCGTTGTGCTTTCGTGACAGCTTCCAACGGCATTGGTGGTTGCAGTGCTCACAGTACAGTACAAGGGACGAGACGGTTTCAGGTCCCAACACACTCCACAAAAAGGGGTCGCTGCGTTGTCCTGTCACTTCGATGCTTGAACTCTGCACATGATGGAACCAAACGACCGTACGGTTCGCATGAGCCGCAGCAGTCCTTGCACCGTTCTGACTTGGACAGAAACCGCTTTTCTTCATACAGAGGCGGGTTGGACCCGGTTTTGTTCGACTCTGCGAGTTTATGGGAAGGACAAGCCCCCAGGAACTGCCCTCAACTGCAGAAGACGCTGGGAGGGGGAGTAAATAATAGTATAAATAATGATGGTAAAGATAAAGAATTAACTAAGTTAATTAATGATAATGGGGACAAAGACCTCCATGGAACCTTTTCTCACCACATTATGAGCTCACGCATCAGACACTTTGCCTTCCGGCAGGGCATCTGTGATCCAACGGCGTTGGCACAGCAGGCTCTGCGAACGGCCAACAAGCCCAGGGCACTAGCCTGTGAAACGACAGCAGCCCTCAAAGGCTCGTCTTGGATGTCCACTTGCTCTTCTGTCAGACTGCTTGGCTCCATGCCTTTCTCTCTCAGCTGCTGATCGACGGTTTCGATGTCCACGGTCTTCGATTGCCGCAGCCGTCGATAAATCTTCCTGGAAACGCGCAAGGAGCCAACCACCACACCTTCGGATAGCAATATCTAGCCGTCAGGTCTACTTTGGGAATCCCAGCATCCTTCCAAGCTTGAACACTGCTTCATCTGTTTCTTGGCTACTTTGCTGCGTAGACTCAGACGGCCGCTTCGTAGGGGCTTGCTTTTCTACGAGAAGTTGCTGTTGCCCTGTTGCTCTGAAGTGCTGCCCACTAGCCTTGTAGCTTAGCAATGCTCACAGGGTCGGGAGAAACGCTTCCAACGACACTCACCATGCCTTCAGCGCCAGAGGCTTTCGCAGCATGCAGAACTTCTGAAAAGTCTTCACAACTTCCAGGCAGCAGAGGGCGCATGAAGACAAACACGGAAAGGCCAGCAGCCGAAAGTGCGCGAATAGTGTCCAGTCTTGTCTGAATCGAAGGTGCGCTTGGCTCCAGATCCTGGACATGTCTGATGGTAGTGATCGTCACCAACGCGTTTATGGGACACTGGAAGGTCTCAGACCAATGTCGCAGCTGCTCGCAGACAGGTCTGCTGATGCCGGATTTTGTTGAAAACTGGATGGGGCTGCCAAGTGGAGCAGCAGCTCGAATGTACTCCATCGTTCGCACTTCCAGGTTTGGATGAAAGGGATCACAAACGTCGCCCAAAATGATGAAATCTCGGGAAGGAATCCAATTCGGGTTGGACAGCAAGGACAATAGAACCTCTTGCCCTGACATCTGAGTCGGGGTGGGCTCGATGAAGGGGTACCAGTCCTGAATGTAGCAGTAACGGCAGGCATAGCTGCAACTGTGCCCACTGATGATCTGCACCCCACAGGCGATAGGCTGTCTTCTGGCATGTTGGTCGCGGCGAGCTTTCCGCACAGCGTGTGGTCCCAACTCAGATTCGAGGAACTGTACGAGCTGCGACACCTCCGTGGGAGAGTAAGCTGCCAAGTCGTCCGATTTCTCTCCACCCACAACTGCCGGCCAAGCTGAGACTCCTGAGATGCATGACGCTGAGATTGCCGCTCCAGTCGCAATCTCTATCTCCGACTGGCTTCTGTACGCTCTACCTACACGTTGGAACATGGACGGATCCACGAGCGGCAAGCGGCTGCGCAGCTTCGGCGGAGGAAGCAAGCGCCGTTGCTCGTTTGATTGCTCCCTCGATGGCTGTACGATGGTCTCGGTTTCTCTGAGGCCATCGGCAGCTGGCTCAACAGGACTCTCTTCATAACGGACACTTATTCTGTGTCGACCCCATCGACGCATCTGAAGCTACTGCAAGGTGCGTCTTGATCTAAAACGTCTCCAGCAAAATCGGGGAACGCTGCCGACGTCACTCAGCAGATTACCTTGCAGAAATCCGTGCCTCCAAGTAGCTCTGAGAGCGTCGAATTGCTGGAGCTCATGCCTGCAGCATCTCCGGGGAGTCTCTGGCAGACTTGAGAAAATAGGTCCCCTTCACAATCCGATGAAGTGCCTGTGACAAGTCGGGAGATTGTACATTCCATCATATTCCATCCCCTGCGGTCTAGGAGGTTGGGAATCCCCGGACGCCATGGGTCTGCGGTGGGTCTCGACTCGACTTCAATCCTAGCCCCTCGCCTAGCGGGCAGCTCAGCAACGACCTCCCGTGAAGTCCAAGAAGTACCTATGAGTCCGCAATGGGTTCTGGAGTCTCGATAGGCAAAATTTCTCAGGGAGAGGGGGCACAAGGAAGCATTCAGAGTCACGGCAGCGCAGCGTCATGCCCCTGACACCTTCGGCAAGGAAGTCCGGAGCCTCTGCAGAAGCATGTTAGCGAACTGTTTCTGTCTGCCAATGACTACTCTCTTGCCCCTGCCTGGAGCAAGCACTGTTCCGCCACTGGTTGCCACGATGACTGGCATTGTCAGGGCGCACGCGAGCAACCGCATGCACAAGGCTGTCTGCCGCTACTCGACACAGCACTGACTGACTAAGCACCTCGAAAAAAAGCACTTTACAAGGACCATCCTTTGGCTGTGAGCCGGATGTATTGGTATTGCCTTGCTTCTGAGTCGCGTACTTGTGAGCCATAAACCATGCTGCGTCCTGTCGCTGCATGCACTGTCTGTCTGCGACCACCGGCAGCACTCAGGATGTAGGCAAATTGCAACGGGTCTGCCGGCAAGTCATTGATTGGTGAATCTTTATGACAACCGCTCCTCCAGGGAGCACGAGGCTGTGAATGGCATGTCGCTCAGCCAGCAACAGCCTTCGTGATGGCAGAAGCGGCTATGCCACGAGGTAACTTCAGGATGCAATTTCTCGAAACTGCACAATTTGAAGTGATCATTCATGCTCCCGCACGTGCGCTAGATGCCGCTACATGCCCTCGAATCAGCCGATAATTGAATAACGAGATTACCGATGCACCTGGCTTTGTATGCATGGCGTGAACCGTGAGCCTTTGCCTGCTGCCCGCAAAAGGATCCTACCAGTAGGGTGGAAGCGAGGGCCCATGGGTATACTCTTGCATACAAGGAATTCAATTTCCGAACACCGCCCACTGCCCACCTCAAGTTACCATCTTCGTGGGCTTGACAGGTGATGGCCTGACAAATGCAGGTTTGCAACGCAACTCGCCGTCTCTAGAACGTCTGAATCCACACGCGTGCCTGGGGCTTAAAATGTGGATGCGGCCAAGTCTGGTGAAGTAGCTCAATCTCGACGTGGCTGGGCATGACCTCAAGCTGCAACCATGATTTAAAGCCCGTAGGCAAACGGACGACACGGCATTCATCGATTATACAGCTTTGCTGCTGAACAGGTCCCGCACCCAGCGCGACACGAAGTTTGCGACCGACGATTCTGATTTCGGCCTGAAAGTTGATGAAGCCAACAATGCTCATATGAACTCCCGCATGCATCCACCATCCACGGGATTTATATTTGTCAAGGCAAGCCCATCATGGAGAACGTAGGCCCCCGACTTGATAATGATGTCGATGTTCAAGAAGACATGGAAGATAGACCTTCTCCAAAAGAAGCCGCATCTTTCGGAGCTTAGACCCTAAACCCTAAACCCTAAACCCCAAACCCTAAACCCTAGACCCCCGTGCTCCCACAGACGCCCACGGCTCCGCACCAGAGAACTCCGACGCACCAAACCCCCAGCAGCGCCAAGGTGCCTGCGCCGTTAGCTGCTCGAAGCTCTGAAAAAATGCTCAAAGGAATAAATACGAATATTACGAACAGGACGAGTAGTAATCATAATAATAGTAGATATGTAATAATAACAAAAAGAATAATAATCATCATAATCATCATAATAGTAACAATGAATACAGTATTATTATAGTAATACATATGTATGAGAAACCGCAGACATGAGCCGATCCAACGAAGAAGCGCGAGTCGCGAGCGAAAGAGGAAGAGAGAAAGGCAAGAAACTAGATCGAAAGAGTGGTCTTTTTCCAGAATGTTCCACCCGAGCTTTTGGGCCCAGGCACAGGAAGTTCAAGGAGGTGTTCACAACCAATGTTGAATCTGTACAGACATCCACAGATTTCACGACCTAAGTCTTCCCTGCGAAGTTCGGGAGAATTGTCTGGGCAGTCCTCAAAAGTAAGATCTGTACTAGCAAAGAAGGGTGTTGCTTTTCGGCGCCTTTCGGGGACAAGTTAGGAGGCGAGCTTTCGGCAGATCTGTTTGATGTTCTGACCTGGTACTGCAAGAAAACGCCAGCTTCCCTGTCACCCACCGAACCTCGTACCACTTCTTGCAGCAGCAGCAGCAGCAGCAGCAGCAGCAACAGCAACAGCAACAGCCCAAGGCTAGCTTTAAGCGCACATGAACTTGTGCAGTAATTGCCTTGTCGGAACGTTACCCATGGCAGATGCCCAGGTGGTGACCTGTGCATCGCAACTGCGTGTTGTCAGGAGTGCAGAGCTGTCAGCCTCCAGAGCCCCTCCCTTAATTCTTTTGCCCCTCTCGTTTCAGCTCGTCTCTGAAGCTAGGGTCATGCCCACGCTGAGGATCTTTCAGAGTGCTTGGGCTGAATCTTCGGGGAGTGGCGGAGACAGCCAGGAACAGCCACTTCTGGCGTCCCAGCCTGCTTGATGCGAGGGTTTCGGTGCTGGGTGCACCGGCCTGCAAGCACGGTCATGCTAGATGACGACAGAGGAAGTTGCAATCGCTCGCACCTGAAGCGCTAAGCCGCTAAGCCAGCAGACCGCACGAATAGACAGATCCTCTCAGGGCCTCTTCGGCGGTAACTGGCTGAAACGTCACGGGAGCCACGGCCTTGGTTGGCTTGGTCCCGACTGCATCCCGAGCTCCTACGCACTTTCCCGGCTGGGGCTAAGGCACCGCTGCCGAAGAAGCTATCTGGTGCTGCTTCAGCATTGCTGCCTTGACGCACGCCACTGACCCAAGACACTTTGAAGGCTTTGGAGACGAGGAGATGTTTTAAATCGGGGCGACTTGCGAAGGAGCCAGCACTGCGCCTCTGTGAATGGGGAACTTTCAAAAGCAAAACATATGCCAGCCGCCTCGTAGCAAGGATCTAGTGCCATCGGATTCACCAACCTCACGAAGGGCACGATTGTTCAATGGCAGCGGGCAGGAATGGGCTACTAGTAGCAAGGCGACTGCGAAAGCAAGTAGAGGAAGCACCCTGCAGCCGGCCTCACTTGCGACGGAACCAGACCTCGAGAGGACCCTGCTCTTTTTCGTTACAATGCGACACCGGAGCTTTATGGTTATCTGCAGAAGGGCGCGCGCTTGACAAGAAGCAGACGACCGGACAGAGTCCTGATATCATCCGAGCGGCACTTGTCGTGCCTGATCCGCACGTGCTAGCTCCTCAAAGTTCGAAGGATGGTGGCTGCGGAAGTGCTCATCCAATCGACGTTGACGATTCTATTGTGCAGCCTCATCGCCCTTTCCAGACATTGCCTTCGGAAGGCTCTTCTGGGCTTTGCGGCTTTCAGGGGCTTCAACAGAGCTCCTGTTGATGCTGCTCCTCGTCTTCTGCAATGAGCTTTGCCAGGGCCTGGCTGACAACAACGAGCTAAGAAATACTGGCATGCTTAAGTCGGTGTCGACTGAGCACTGCAACTGAAGATTGTATCACTGAATCCCTAAACCCTAAACCCTTTGGTTCTCTTCTCCCCCCTTCGGATCCCTGCCTGCGTGTTGCTGAAGAGGGTCTCGATGCTTCCCCCCATGGTGTCCAGATCAGATGTTAAATCGGTTTCCTCAGGCACGTCTGTCACTGCTATGGAGGATACATTCCCGAGGTTAGATACGTCGTAACACACACACACACAACTCAGACATGCACACAACCCTGGGAGTAGAATCAGTGAGTTGCTTGGGACTCGCGCTGGTGGCATGGTCCAGACACTTTCACCAGTATCTGGGTCATACCAATACCTCAGAATTCTTGATGCTTCCATTACGCGATAGCCTTTCTCTGCAAGTTTCAGCTTTGCCTCCAAGATGCTCCATAGTCTGGAAAGAAGCAAACCATTCCAGTTTCAGCCAGACCTGTGTGTCTCCTATGTTCAGGTCTTAAGGCCAGTGACGGCATCACGATCTGACACCCACGCCGGCTTTTCTAGTCCGCGCCATTCCGATCTTCGCTTCCGCAGCGAGGCAACGGCAACGGCCATCACAGATGACCCTTGTACACTGTCAGACTTCTTGCAGCTTTTTGCAGCTTGGCTGACTGAAAGGCTGGCAAGGACGTTCGCCCGTCCATGAAAACACGTCACCTCTTTCAGCTTCACAGCTCGTTGACCCAAAAAGGTGAAGATCTTGTGTCCCAGACCTCGAAGGCTGGACACGCTGTTGCCGCATATGGACGCTTACTTCCAACTAACCACAGCAGCAGATCACCTGAAAGGAATCTGGCACGTCCCTTCATGCCGCTGAGGGACGAAGGCTGGGCTTTGGCTCGACGTTTGCCGCGACATTAGCTATGGCTTGTCCTGCGCACCAAAGCGAATCTGCTCGGAACAGCGTCGGAGAGCTCCTTTCTCTCGCAGTGTTTTGCAGCCTCCGGTGCAGGGCCCCTGTTGATTTCAAGTTTGACCGTCGGCTTCACGGTGAAGGCGGCTTGTTACGTGAACCTTCCACGAGTCCTATCTGGATACCAGCTGAAAGACCGGACCAAGCAGGGAAGAGAAAGCCGGGGCCCTGAATTAATGTCAAGAAGGCGTACATGAGCCCCAAAACCACAGGTCCCAAATGCATCACGGGCAACACCTGGTTCAGTGATGTCAGGCTTATGGCCTCCGGAG